AGACCCACTCAGGGCTTGACTCCAGGACCCTGGGATCATGACCTGAGCCAAAGGCAGACATTTAACCAACTGAGCCACCCAGGTGACCCGGTCCATATCTTCTTGTCTTAATGGCTATTTGAAAGGGTCAGGCTATCATTATCTCTCACCAGACTTACTGCCTCAGTTACTGACCGGCTCACCCCCAGTCTCAGCAACCCCTAAACCTTGTCTATGCTGCAAATAAAATTTTTTTCTTTACGACAGATCTGATTTTGTTACATCCCTGCTTTAAGCTTTTCCACAGTTCCCTATTGTCCTCACAAGAGAATCAGTAAGTCTTAAATTTCTATAAGGATCCTCATGATCCAACTCAAATGTGTCCCTGGTCTCATCAAATACCATGCCTGCCAACCCATTTCCTACATAAAATTAATTTTTCCAGACATACCGAATGGCTTTCATTTCCTAAAATGCTTTCTCTTGCCAGGACTTTAAATGTGCTGCTTCCTTTGTCCTCCACACACTACCCTTCCTTGCATCAGCTCAAATAACCCCTTCTTATGTACCCCTTCCTGACTCACACCAGGAGAAAGCCATTCCCCACCTTGGTGCCCACAGCTGTCTGCATTTTCCCTGTAGCACAGCACTTCTCATGATATTCGATTATTTTGCTTGATTATTTATCATCCCTGTTTATCTGTAAGTTCCTTGAAGGCAAGGAATATATCTTATTCCTTGTTGAATCTTCAGTGCTTATTAAATATTTGCTGAATGAATACAGACATGAGGATAAAATAAAAAGATTGATAAAAAGCTAGATATATGAAAATGAATATTAAGGTCCTTTGGTTATCCTCTAAGAAGGAGAACATAGTGCTCAACATCTTGATGGCTTCTATAAAAGTTCTTTATCTTACAACTTCCAAAGAGTAGTTTAAAGGAATCAACCTACCTTTGCTTAAACAATGCACATGCTCTTAATGTATCCCTTTACTTTGCTTCTCTGAAAAATGTAACTTCTGCTTGGATTCTCAATGTAAAATTAGTCTTGTGCATTTATCTACATTACTTAAGTTTTGCTATTGTGTACTCTAAACTCCTGTGACCTCACTCACGGCGGCTTGTGGTGTAGTTACTTGGAAGCACCGACTCTGAAATAGGACTGTGGGTTTCGGTCTTGGCTTCTCCACATCCTGCTGTGTGACCTGTGGCAAATTATTTAAATTCTGTGTTTAGTGTCTTCACCTGTGAAATGGAAATAATGGGATAATTGAAAAGTTTAAATGAGTTACTAGATGTTAGGCACTAAGATCACGATCTGGTAACTAGTAAACGCTAGATATGTATTGTTATTATTTATGCACAGTTAATGCTTTCAACACACTCTCTTATTCTCTGACTGCAATTGCCTGTCTCATATTCAGCAGTAACTCTTTGTGGACAGGTATCAGGGTCTAAACCGCTTTCTACCCCTAAGCACCTAGACTAGGAGGAGGAGCATAATAGTTCACTGAATCTTGATCATGGTTTGTTTTGTAACCTGGCTGTACTCATTCACCAACTCAGGATACAAATATGTTCATACCTCTTGGTTGTGTACAGTCCATCAAGGCTCCTTTCATTTGCCCTCAGGATTTATGCCCTCTAGAAAGAGCTTCAGGTCTAAACACCAGGCAGTGGCTGTGCATGGCTACTTGATCCTGTACGCTCTGGAGGGCTGCAATCGCATTAGTGCAAGATGTCCTTGCTGACCCAGATCCCTATCCAAGCCCTGATGGTGCCCAGTCAGGCTCCAAGATCAGACCTACAAGCTCAATCGTTGTTCTCAAGCATTATAGTCTGGCGGAGAGTCTTCCTGTCTTGAACAAGCCTTGTGCAGGAATCCGCCCCAGGTCAAGACCTTTGGGTCATCAGCTTAGGTCATTCCTTAAGGGCTCAAAGACATTCTTTTGTGCCTTCAGGTTCTAGTCAGGGCCACCTCATTCCACCATGCCTGATTTTTCTAACCTCAAATTGTAAGGAGCAGAGGTTGGGGGAAGGTATCTTTGTCCCTCCTTCCCAGAAGGTTTTTGGGCTCCTTCTGCAAATTTATCCACCCCTTTCCTAAGCTCTGCACACCAAAGGGCAAGTCCACATTTAAAACAAAACAAAACAAAACAAAAACAGGGGCACCTGGCGGGCTCAGTTGGTAGAGCATGCAACTCTTGATCTCGGGGTCGTGAGTTCAAGCCCCATGCTCGGTGTGGAGTCACTTAAAAAAAAAAAAAAAAGGAAAAGAAAAAGGACTGCAGGTAAAAAAAATATATATTCAAAAGTCAAAAGAGTCTGACTCTGAATCATACCTCCAAGGTCAAAGAGTATCTCTTGGCCATTCAGAATATTTTCAAATCTTCCTCCTTGCAATCCTCTATTAGAGAAGTTCTGGTTGAAATGACTTGGTGGGGTCAGGGAGTTAATAGATTGCTGCTAGACCTTCTTCTTCTTCTTCTTCTTCTTCTACTTCTTCTTCTTCTTCTTCTTCTTCTTCTTCTTTTGCTAGACCTTCTTTATAGGTTATTTTTTTTTAAGATTTTATTTGTCAGAGAGAGCGAGAGAGAGCGAGAGAGAGAGAGCACAAGCAGGGGGAGTGAGAGAGGGAGAAGCAGGCTTCCCACTGAACAAGGAGCCTGACTTGGGACTAGATCCCAGGACCCTGGGACCATGACCCGGGCCACCCAGGGAATCCCTAAAGGTTAACAACCGCCTTTTAAAATGCAAGATGGTTCTGATTCTCCCAAACTGTTTCTCACTTAGTCTTTAGTACATCATAGGAGCCTGCGAACTAGAAGATTATAAAATGCTATAAAGCAAAAAATAAAATCCTCTGTTAGTATGAGCTGGACCTGGCAGAGACTCTTCTGGTTTTAGCAGTGTGAAATTAAAATGTAATTTTTGCTTCAATTCTGAGTTTTCAGTTAGTCACAATACATATAAATGAGGACTCTGCCTCTGCAAGAGCCATGACATCCTGACCCCATTCCTTGGGAGAAGTGTAATTATTGTTGTTGTTATTCTTCATATACCACCCATCTCTGTCAAAAAACACTGGCATTTCTGAACATCAGTAAGAAACAAGTTTACAATATCATTTCCTGGTTTGATGACAGAGGTAAAAGAAGTATGGAAAGACTGTCTTCTGTTTTCCCTTGCATGCAAGAAAAAGCTTGACTTTGCCTTACTATAGAAAAAAGGGCTCTCAAGAACAATGCTGTGTGTGTACCTTTCTCCTTGTTAACCACAGTTAAGATGGTTCTGAGGCTGTCTCTGGAAAATGGCATGATCATTTATACTTCCCGCTGACATGCTTTTCTCCTCACTCCTCACATTAATAGTTGAGGTCAGGTTTGGGGGGTTGCTGCCAGGATCCTGAGGAAGCCACAGAAAGAAGCGAGGATGGTCTATGGGCTGTTACAGGGCACAGCTGAGCCTGGAGAATGAAGGGGGAGACAGAACAGACTCAGCAGCCACCTCTCCCACTCTTAAAGTGGGGATAGTATTTTGAGGAAAATATACCGATATGTTTCATTTCCTTCTATGAATGCTGTTCCCTTGAAGTCCCTAGGCTAAATCCTGAGGTCCCTGTAGGAGAGGAGAGGGCAGACCTTTCCAAGAGCAGGAAGTCTACCATCAACCTTGCCTCTTACACGTAGCCTTCTCTAGGCTACAGCAAGACAATAGTAGTGATGAACAGTCTTTATCAAAATAAAAAAAAAATCCTAACTTATTCTAACTTATTTATTAAATATATCAAAATCCTGGCCTGATAGATCTAATCCTTCAGTTTTTTTGTAAGGGAATTCCTTACCTGAGAGAAAGAAGAATGGGAAGGTCTGCCTCTTGCTGTTTTGCTGGCTTGTGGGAGGAAAATGGGCATCGAAGACAAAACAGGTAGAGAGACACCATTTCCAGAAGTCCTATCTCTGAGCAAAAGTTCTGAATGTAGAAGGCATGCTAAATAATTTGAAGGCAATGCACAACACACACACACACTCACTCACACACACACACACACACACACACACACACACAGCTCTTCCTGATGCTGAGCCACCACCAACAGAGACTTGGGATCCACGACTGGTTGCCACATGGCCAGAATCAAAGTTCCAGAGTCCCCATTAAACTCTTTGCGGCACGAAGGTGTTAAAAACATCTTGTATGGGGCACCTGGGTGGCTCAGTCAGTTAAGCGTCTGCCTTCGGCTCAGGTCATGATCCCAGGGTCCTGGGATCAAGTCCCGCATCGGGCTCCCTGCTCAGCGGGAAGCCTGCTTGTCCCTCTCCCACTCCCCCCTGCTTGTGTTCCCTCTCTCGCTGTCTCTCTCTGTCAAAAAATAAATAAATAAAAATATAAAATAATAAAATTAAAAAATAATAAAATAAAATCTTTAAAAACAAACAGAAAAACAAACAAACAAACAAAAAACAAAAAACATCTTGCGTTCCCTCAGGAGGGACACAGACAGTACGCAGTGGTCCAGGTCAATCAGCTTAGGTGAAGGGGGAGTGTCACAGCCACACAGGCAAATGCCCCTGGATCCAAGGCCACAAGCTGAGTTGGAGCCCAACCTCAGGAACAGAAATTGAACCTGTCAGAGCCAAAGTAGGGCCAAGTGAGGAAGAAGGAGCCCTGAGAGAGCTGAGTTCACTTGCCAAAAAATTCAGTTTTCTATGCCATAGTTTGTACAGTAATCAGGTGGAAGGAACACTGTGTGGCAACAGAAGAGCTGAGAGCTCTGCAGGGACTGATGTGGGGACCCCCAAGACCCCCTTCTTCTCTGTTGGTATGAGGCTATGCAAGCTCCCCACTCCCAGCCATACACTGTTGGGGAGCCCATCTATCTGTTGGGGTCTCCCTGTCTAGAGCACAGAGGTGAGAAAGGAGGCAATTCCTGAAAAACCAAGTGTTATCCAAGAGAATATTTATATTATTAGATCAAACGTGGTTTTCCAAGTTGGACCAAATGCTTTTCTCCACAGTTCAGGTGAGTAGTATCTCATGAGAAGAATCAAGCGAGTTCTGCAAAGGAAGGAATTATATTCTGCTTGAACACCTGAGTTCTTTGGCAGCTCTGCTACACTTCTCTGAAAATACCCAGAAGGCAGCTTCTATGGTCTCTTAAAGTGATTGACTCTTTGCAGGTTAACTGAATATGCCTCAGAAAACGTCCGAGGTGGTTAATTGATGTGCCCGTTTTCCCTCCGATGAAGGTTATGGGGGTGGGGGGGAACTTCATGATTGGCTACTGTTTCTTTCATATGCTCTAAATTTCCTTCCCTCTCAGATGCAGCCTGTTTGCACCTGAACCAGCTGTACTAGGAAGAGAAGGATGTATCTACTAGTTCCACTCTTTCATCAGTCAAAACAATGCAGGCAAAAACAATGCATGCCTTTAAAAAAATAGTCTTCAGCTACCTTTCTGGTGGAAACTGACATTACAGCTCTCATTTGTGGGGCTGATCCTCCAGGCAGAGCCAGCCTAGGGCAGTGTGTGCTGGCTCCAGGCCACCCGCAGCTCCGTTACTCGGGGAACTTTGGGGCTATGTTTGGTTGTTCCTTCGTGACACGGGTTCCCTGCTGCTGTGACATGGGTTCCCTGCTGCTGTGACTTTAAGCTTCAGCAGTATGAAAACAGAAACCCTGATCCACTTAGATACATTGTCGGAGTGTGCTTTTCTTTTAGATTTTTCTCTAAAATTTTGTTTTATTAAAATTTAGCTCCTTCGGGTGCCCGGGTGGCTCAGTTGGTTAAGCGACTGCCTCTGGCTCAGGTCATGATCCTGGAGTCCCGGGATCGAGTCCCACATCGGGTTCCCTGCTCAGCAGGGAGTCTGCTTCTCCCTCTGACTCTCCTCCCTCTCATGTTCTCTCTCTCTTTCAAATAAATAAATAAAATCTTTAAAAAAAATTTAGCTCCTTCAGGCGGTTTTCATTTGACTTTGGTTGATTGAGGAGTGAAACAAGGTCAAAGGAATAGATTAAATACAGACCTATATGGTCTTCATTTCTGTATTTGGTTATTACAAAGTGTAGAGGAGTTGAGTCATGAAAAAAGCTCACATGTTTGGAAAACTTTTGGGGGGTGGACATGCTCCAGTTATTGCGTGGTTATCACATTTTATCAGGGCTTCTTGTATGTGTAAAATTATATGTATAAAATTAAATATGTGTTTACCTTCTTTTCCTTATCCCAAAAATAAGTAACAAGCTCTCTTTGAATGAGATGTTCCAGGCAATTCAACCTCACTAGATCATGTAATTAGTGATGGCTATTCACTCATCTATCCTTCATGGACTCGAAAGAAAAATATCTACTGAGTATCCACTATGTTCCAGGCATGTGGTAGGTCATGGACCTGCAGAGGTTAACAAAATCTAATCATAGCCTTTGAAGAGTGTACGGAAGGAGAAGAGTATTCCAGGAAAGATCATGAACATTGTGGATATCTCATTACAGCCAAGTGGTGAGACATGTAAGCAATATACCAGCCTGCATGAAATGCCATCTGTGTCCACGAACCAAAGATTTTGGTTCTGGACAACTTGCACATCAAGTTCAGAGGTCATATCTGACCTTTACCCCACCCCCAGTTTATGGATGCCATGACAAACCATTTTGACTAATCTACAAGGTATTTTTAGAGAACACAAAAGAAAATGTTGTAGGTGTTGGGGAACAAAGAGTGTCAAGGCAGCTCCTCTAAAATATCATTGTTGAAAAAATAATCCAGGTGACCGTAACGTATGGCTAGAATGATCCTAATTGGTGTTTTTGTTTGTTGCCTTTAGAGATTTTCCTTAACGTTGCCCTCCTAATCCTCTCCAGTGCCTGCCCCTTCCAGACATGGCGCCTCCCTGACTTTCTGATTACTGCTTGCTTCTTCCACTCCTATGCTTTCTTCTAACTCCACGTTCCAAATTTGAAAATCCATTTTTTAAAAAAGATTTTATTTATTTATTTGACAGAGAGAGAGCAAGAGCAGGAACACAAGCAGGGGGAGTGGGAGAGGGAGAAGCAGCCTTTCTGCGGAGCAGGGAGCCCGACACAGGACTCGATCCCAGGACCCTGGGATCATGACCTGAGCTGAAGGCAGACGCTTAATGACTGAGCCACCCAGGTGCCCCTTGAAAATCCATTTTTAAAATTTATCTCACTACCTCCCACCTTTTAGATTTCAGAGTCTTTTTTCCCCCTAAACACTTCTTTCTTACCCTCCCTCCACTGACTTGAATAGGGAGTGAGAAGCACTGAGCTTTAGTGCTAGTTCCGCCCCTGTCTGGCTGTGTGACAACTCTGGACAGATGAAGCTAATGAGACCCTAACAATATGGGTCTCAGTAGCCTCATCTGTCATGGGAAGGGGACCAGAATCACTGGTCTCCAGGCTCCTTTCTGGTTCTCTGATCTCAGGGTTCAGTGAATTTTCCCCAAAGAGTAAAGTCCCAGAAGCTTTGTTAATGGTTTTACAGTCATTCTTTGACATTTCCTAAACACATCTTCCTCTCGTTCTTGGGGTAAGACTTGCAAACAGAGCTCTTGGGATCTCTGTGGCCCTTAATCTGTTGGGGCTGTTTGCTCCCTAGAGTTGAGAAAGAGAAAGGAGGGGCGTCTTAGATACTTGCAGACACATGAAAATATTCAGTGCTGAAACCCACACTTTTTTCACTGTCTACTTACTGCTATTCTCCCTGGCATTTTTATCTGTCCAGAAATATAGGTCCTAATACATGCCAAGAACCATTTACAGATGCAGCCACCTCTCTCCAGTACCTTTGAATGGAAGATTTAAATCTCAGACTGTCTGAGTTCCTTTCAATCTAGCCGAAATGTTTAACTTCCTATCTCTGCTTCATCCTGCCTCTCAGGTCTCATTAAAACAAGGTACCACCTAGACCTGGGCTCCTCTGAGGCTCAAACTAGTCTCTTGGATGTATATGGTAATCCGAGGCAGAATCTTTCCTTCTGTTTGAAAACTTTTTCTGGATGTTGATTTTTTAAACCGAAGGTCTCCTGAGGTCCTTCCTGCTGACCGATTTCTCTTCTACAACTTCTGTATGACCTTTTATTTCACATTCAGGCTACGATTCCCGAGACCTTCATTTTTCTGCATGACCCTGACAGACCTAATTCCAACTTTAGTCTCGATGGATGCATAGATAGACCTGCAACTGAGGCCAGAATCCCAGAATATCTAGGAAATGTGAGCTGGACCTCAATGTGGAAACACCTGGCAGAAACTGAGTCCTAGGCAGGCTCAGACATTCTGATATAGTTCCTGAAGAACATGCTCAGGCATCATTCCCTTGTCCCCAGGCTGCTGTTAAATTCATTCTCCTCCTCTGTAAGGTTTATTATCTATGTAATAGATTGTACTTATCCAACTAATATCACCTAACTATTAAGCTACAATTTGGCCAGGCCTCATATAGATCTGTGGGATAGTTTATAAGAAAACAAAAGACATCTCATGTCTTCCAGTATTTTTCCAAGATCTTAAGAGGGTTACAGTCAGAGTGACCGTACATCCTAGTTAACTGGGGACAGTCTCAGTTCATGCCTGTTCTCCTGTTGTCTTTATGAACAGAGCCTCTTCTTACTCTCTAAAGTGTCCCAATTTAGATAATAAATTATACAACCCACCTAGTTTTGGCATTATGTAGGTGTGCTGTAGATGTGTGGCTAAAATCCTACCTCTTCATTACTGCATTCTGCTTAAAGTGGCCCACGTAATTACCTGTCGAACTTAACAAATGACCTAATCACTCATATTACTAAAGCACACTTGGCTTGTGATAAAAAGACAATGAGTGAAATGGGCCTTGCTGAATTTCTTTAACGCCTTATGAGGGGGAAAAAAAGCTGAAACTTCTAACGGTAGAGAATTGGTTAAAAATAATAAACCATTCAATTGAATCTGTTCATGAGAAGATTAGAAAGGAATTTTCCTGATATAATACAAACATGGCCTGCTGTCTTCCTCACCTCCCCTCGCGACTTATACACACTCACACACAAACCTGAGCAGGTTGTCTATGGATGTTTATACAGGCTGATAGATAGCCCTTTATGAATCATGTTCAATCAAGGAGCTTCACATTTATGATCCACTCAGCATATTTCTACATGATGATGAAATTAGGAGCCAGTTCCACCTTTGTCAGAAAAGTAAGTCATTCAGTTGAAAAGACAAATTTAAAACTTTGTTTCCACAAGGATAAATCAAATATTTGAGAGAGTGCAGACTCTGCTTAACTATGATATAATTAAGTGATTATGTGCAACTTAATTATCTTTTGGAAAAAAGACGGTTTTCTGATAATGGCCCATGTTTTATTTACAAGAATTCTGGGACACATCAATGTCAAGAGAAATATGGCTATGTACTGAGTTGGAAAAAAAAACTGCTGTCTAATATTAATAATAATATTAATAATAGCTAAAATTGCTTGAGTTTTCTGAATGTAGGACATCACACAACATTTTATGTGCAGTACTTCATTCAATCCATGGCAACCCTGCCTCAGATATGCTAGGGAGACATTGTGGGATCATATTTGTGGGAGGTCTCAATAGCCTTATCAATGATAAGTAGTAATAATTTTTTCATGGATTTTCCAATGATACATCCTGATGATTCTCTGCTTCGGTGCTGGGAAGTATTCTCATGAGTGTGGATTACTGTATGTGGAGATTATAAATTATTTGTAGTAGTCAGAAGGTAAATAAATGGAGTGATAATAGGTAGGATAGAGTAAGCGTTTTCCCTATAACCACCGTTAGATGATATCTGAGAGGTTGCTAGTTAAAAATATTGTGAATCTGAATGTGAGAATTGAAATATTAATCAGAGGGAAATTGTGTGTAGTATTAAGTGAGAATTATATGTCAAGGCAGAACCAGAGTTTAAGGAGGTGGGTGGGTATTACTGGAAAACCTCAGAAAAATCCCCTACATGGGTCTGAGGCTGTCTTGACACTGCTGTCTCTGATTTTTCCTTCTAAAGGAACAAATCCGTTCAACAAGCTGTGTCTTTTATCTATTGTTAAACAAGGTATGCCGTATTTTTTCAAGAGCAAAGCAAAGCAAAACAAAACAAATCTTCCTTTATTACCTGAGGGAGATGAACAAATAATTCCTGCAAATCTATTTAAAATTTGTTTATAAATCTTGCTTGCCCTGCGATTTATATGTATAAATTATATATATATAAAAATCTAATGGACTCATAATCTAAACAAATTTCTGTTGTTATATGTACCCTAAAGGACTATGAAGGACAAATAAATCTGGGGCCATTTCTCCTGGAAGTTCAAAAGAATGCTTTTCGGTCATGGTGACCCTAATAGAAGAAAGGGTGTCTGCATAGTGAAGGCATATTCTTTTATTAATCGTTCCTGACAGTAAAGGTTTAATAAAATATGTTAAAGAAACAAAGAAAATGAGTCAACTTTACTTTAAAATGTATGATGCTGTTCTGAAATGGGCTCAGGGATTGAATCCCCTAGATTAATTTTCCTTCCTTCTCTACAATTAGATGAGTCTCAAATGTTTGATTGGGACTCTTTTAAGTACAAAGCACATGTAACATGTTTACTTTTTTAGAGGAAGATCAGTTTATAGCTAAATAAACCATTCTGGCATTAGTCTATACATAAATAATATTTGTGTAGCTCATATGGTTAAGAAGTGGTTAAATAAAATAATAGGTGGAACATGAGAAGTGGAATTGATGAATTAATTAACTAATTGGGAAAGGAAAAGGATTCCATGTGAGCTATAACTTTCAAAGGAGAGAACCCTTTACATAATGGAGCAAATCAGAAGCTTTGCTTTCCCTTTTCGAAATTTACTTAAAATAAATACTCTTCTTGCCATGAATAATAAGATACAGAGAGAAATATAATCATGGAAAAATAAAGTTAATCTGGACTAATAAGCTGCAGATAGCATTTGCAGAATATATTAAGCATGAATAATCCTTAGATTCTAGCATTTCATGCTTCTCTGCAGTGGCCAGAACACAGGAATTTTCTCAGAACAGTCTCTCAAAACACTTATTCTCAAGGTGTGACTTTTCAACAACTTACAAATAGAAAGAACTTTGAATTCTTTGCAATTGAGAGTCATCTTCCAACACAGACCTTGTAAGAGATAAATGTATAAAAAACAGGATAGAATAAGAAGTACTATTAAAAATCCCAGATGAACTGGCAGATGCACAGCCCTCAGAAGAAATAAATGATACAAGAAACAAGAATCTAAAATACTATAAAAACACAAAACAGTGGATCCAAAGGGGACATGAGATAAAGTAGCCAATAGGGACAAACTTAGAGAAAATCCAGAAGTTGTGGTTAAGGGTTAAGACTTTAAGTATCCATGATTAATAAGTTAAAGAAAGTTGAGGGAAATACGAAGAAAATGGATAAAGGGATGGAGGATTAGAATAGAGAATTAGAGTCTGTAAGAAAGAATCAAACATTCTAGAAATGCAAAATACAGAATTTGAAATTAAGAAATCTTTTAATGAGTTTAAGAGCAGGTGGAACATACAAGACAAGGTTTGTAGACTCTTTTTCAATAGAAAGTGTTTAGAAGGCACAGGCAGCCAACAAGAGTGGAAGAAACCAAATGCAACATATGAGATATGATATATGATTAAGATCTCTAACATACACACCCCTGGAGTCCCAAAAGGAGAAGAGAGGCACTGGGACAAAAGAACTATGTGAGGAAGTAATGGCCATAACCTTCTCAAATCTAGTGAAAAATAACCCACAGATTCAAGAAATTCAGCAGATTCTAAGCAAGATAAATACCAAGAAAACTTCAACTCTTATTACTCTAAAACTAATAAGAGAAAATCCTTCAAATGGGGTGTGGGGGGGAAACCCATGTTACCTTCACAGAAATACCACTCAAAAACTGTATGCTAGAAAGTTCTGTTAAAGAACTGAATGAGAAAAACAAAACAAAACCTTCTAACCTAGAGCTCTATACAGAGTGAAAATATCCTCCCCAAAATGAAGAAATAAAGACTTTTCACATAACCAAAGTTGAAAGAATTGTTGGTAGTAGACCTATAATAGAAGAAATACTAAAGGTTGCTTTTCATGTCAAAAATAATGGCCCCAGATGAAAAAACAGAAGCACAGGAACAGAAATTCAAGAGTTTATAACTTAAGCCGAAGGAAAAAATGTGACAATAGCAAAAATAATAGTAAGAGGATAAATGGAGTTAAGCTATTATAATCCCCTTACAGTACTTAGGACTTTTACTACTTTTACTACTTTGTTGTAGTCATGATTGTATTTTGTACTTCTAAGGTAATCTTGAATGCAAAATAGCAATGCAAAAATGGATAACAAAAATCGTTATAATAAAATATAATAATAAAATGTAATTTATTAATGCAAAAAGAAGTAATATCTATAGTCAGTGAAGAATAGAAGGATATGACTCACATTTTTTTTTTTTTACTTTTTTTTTAAATACAAGGTTGAACTATTTGAACTAAGAGTTTCTACATTGGGTTTTTCATGTTATTTTAATATGCTCTTAGAAACAACATGTACCTTACTATAGTCCCCGTTTTCTTTGCCATTTTGTATCAGTATGCCCATAGCTTGGGACTACATTTCTCTATTAGTTTGTTTATTTATCTATTTATTATTTATTTATTTTTAGTTTTTAAAAAGATTTGTTTATTTATTTGAGAGAGGGCAAGCAAGGGGAAGGGCAAGGGAGAAGGAGAGGGAGACAAGCTGACTCCCCACTGAGCACAGAGCCCGACGTGGGTCTCCATCACAACCTGAGATCATGACCCGAGCCAAAACCAAGAGTCGGATGCTCAACCGACTGAGCCACCCAGATGCCCCTTTATTAGTCAATTTAAATTACACAGTGGTGTGTATTAGATTCCACCACCTTCTCCATTCACTTGACACAAGAGTTGGTAACACCAAGACATGTAAGTGTGCAGCATGTCCAATAGCCAGAGACTAGCTCATAAAGAATTGGGCCAGCACAAAGATTATTTTTTTTTACCACAAATATGTTCTATCACGTTATTAGATATCATTGGAAGGTGTGTATGATTCTAGTCTACCACTGTACTAAAGTGGACTTGAAAGAAAAAGCAATTTTGATCAAGGTGTCATCAGAAGGCAGTAAAGGGATTTAGATTCCAGAAATCCAAATTTTCACTTCTCACCCTCAGCCCATCTTTTTATTCATTTCCAGTTTTGTAAATGTACTGATTTTTAAATTGTAGCACAAGCCCTGGAAGTGTAGCCATCTCTCTTTTCTGGTTTCTAACACCGATTTTCTGATTCCTTCTTTACAGGCCAGACTTCCATGACTCGCCAAATTCTTGGAGTGATCTATAGAGCATTTAGAAATAGAGATTCCCAAGTTTTGCCTCAAACTTAACTGCATTGTAATCTGTGTGGGTGGGGCTCAGGAAATTTTTGTTTTAAGATATGGAAATCACTCCTCCAGGCTATGTTTGTGTGTGTGTGTGTGTGTGTGTGTGTGTATGTGTGTTTAAGTGCAACCACACAAAAATCTCTACCTACCAAAAACGTACATGTGAAGTTCAAACTCTATTCTGTGAAGCACATAGCAGATCACAGTGCTGAGAATACAGTGGACTTCCCCCAAAAGAGCTGACCCACAGAGTCATGGTTGGGTGAACCTTTACTAAGCATGTCTGTTAGTGTTATTAATGCAACTACATTCATTTACAAATATGCAGCTCACATAGATTTCTAAGTAACTGAGGTTTTCTAAGAATTATTATTCTTCCACCCATTTTCAAGTTTGCTAGAAGATTTCAAGAGTCCAAAGGAAGGCACAGGAGCCAATGTTCCTACTCAGTTACATTGTCTTGGCTTTTGAATAGGTTAATGAGCCCCAGAATTTATCTTTATTTGGGCTTTAGTGCTCACATTCATATTCTACTTTAGTTTTTCTTCCAAAAATAAAGTTTTGAGGGAATGATTTATTCCATAACGCAAAAATCAGAAAGAGACAGAATCCCTGCTTTGTTACTAAGGGAAGAAGGAGCGTCAGGGAAAGAGGAGGACGAGGCATGAGTTTGATGAATGAGAAACGGCTCCCCCAGTGTCATGGACTCCTCTCCCAGGCAACTCCTCACTCACCTTCCCACAGCTGAAGATGGTCTCGTGAGCAGAATGGCTGATTTTCATACCAGCCCAGGTGAGCTCTGAAAGAAGCAAAGCAAGGCATGAGCTGGGCTGTCAAGAGCATCCCACTAAAGGCTAAGGTACTGTACCTTCTCTCTTGCTGACAAACCCACTTGTGGATTAAGACTGCCAACTCTTTTTTACCTTTACTTTCCAGGCAGTAGAGGCAATTCGCCAACATTGAATCACAGACCAAACCTGAAAAAACTTAGCTCTGACCCAACCATGTGCTGGAGTTGCCGATGATCCTTAAAATTAACCTGTTCTGAGTCCTCCTGAAGGCCAATTTTTATGCAGCTGACCTGCCACTGTGCAGCAATGGCGCCACCTACAGCTACAGAACAATGTGTAAGAAAATGACAGGTGCTGGGAGATGGCGGTCAGATTTGGTGGAAAAAGTGGAAAAATGTAATTTTTTAAAACTATAGCATTTTACAGTGTATTTACTATATGCACTTGGTAAGTTTAAGCTATCTTTACATTAAAAGACAGCTCCGCATTTTTTCATTATCAACAGACTGTTTTATTTAAACGTGAAAAAGGGGGACGCCTGGGTGGTTCAGTCAGTTGAGCGTCGGCCTTCGGGTCAGGTCATGATCCCAGGGCCCTGGGATCGAGTCCCACATCGGGCTCCTTGCTCAGCGGGGAGCCCGCTTCTCCCTCTGCCTGCCGCTCCCCCTGCTTGTGCTCTCTCTCTGACAAATAAATAAAAATAAAATCTTTAAAAAAAACGTGAAAAAGGAAGAGATAAAAAATAAAATAAAGAAAAATAATAAATTTGGAATGGACAAATCACAATCCATGTAGTGTGTGAGTCATGACAAACAGACGGGGTCTTGAAGCCAGCAATTGCAGGGGTAGTCTCTTGATTCCTCATCTTCCAGACTGTAGCAGAGAAAGTGGCTTTTAGTCAAGTCAGTAACACTTTATGAGAGTAATTCCTGCAAACCCAGTCTAGAGTTTGCTCCTCCAGCCCTTCCAAAAGTAGTAGGAGTCACCGCAAAACTGCTGTTTAACCTCTTTTGACATAAATTGACTAACGGGTGTTCTGTTGCCTTCAACCAAACCCTAACTATGATGACACGGGGGTGAAATAGGTTAGTGATGGAAGAGAGTCAAGGGGGCCTCTGCTGCAGCTGCCACAGAAAACCAGGTGCTCTCATGGTTGTGTTTCTCCACAGAGGCAGAACGAGCGGCAGAAGTGGGGCCTTTTCCTAAATTCCATTTATGCTCTTAAATAATTATGAGTGACAGTTATGAAGGTAGATACGTAAGTGTAATAGGTGTGTCTCCTAGGTCCCAGGCTGATGGTAGATCGCAGGGAAGTCTGACCTCTAAAGGCATGGAGGAAATGTAGTCCATATCTCCCAGACTGTAATGTGCAGTAAGTTCCACTTCATGCAGGTGGGAATGGAGGTAGTGAGCCAATCTTCAGTACCAGCCTCCCAGGATTTCGGCCTAAAAGTTTTCTCTGTGACTCACCAAATTCTTCTTTGAGAAATTATAAGCTTGATAGAACCATTAGTTTTTTTTTTTTCCAGGGCATGTTAAAATAAATACATGACATCTAAGTTTCAAAATGTTCAACTGAATGCCACCAAAACTTCATCTTGTGTGCCACTGCTGAGCAACCTGGTGCATGAAAAAGTGCGGGCTGTAGATTTAGGTCTGGTACTGCTCTCCCTCTATAAATCTCAGTAAGCTTTGGCCTCCGCTTTCCCAGGAGGATTCAGTCATAACACATGCATATGGTTGCCAGATCAATCACCCAGTGGCTCCAAAAATGATCAACTAATTGATTTTTTCTAATTTTTCAGTTTCTAATATGGTAACTGATCTCTTTGGAAATCTGAAACATTTAAATATATGCCATTTGACAATTATTTTCAATGGGGTAAGCTGAGATGTCACTCAGTAAGAAAACATGGAGCATAATTTATAATAAGCCAACACTGGTATCAGCAGAAAAAAATTCTAAAATTCCTTTCATTTTTTGAGCTCAATGCTTATGACTTATGTACTTTTCTCTCTATATATACATAATATGTGTATATATATATATATAATACTCCAATACGAAGTTTATAATAGAAAGAGAGACATGCCAAGAGATTTCATTCAAATAAACTTGGACATAGGTGGATGAGGATAAATAAGACACTTTCTATGGAAAGAATGTGTAATGAATGCAGATTAGGTATTCTGGTAGAATGAAGACAGCAAGAAAAAGCTATACCACTGTGTTCTGGGAATTCCCAGGCAGAGTATTGCTTTTCATATCCAAGAATCTCCTATTTTGCACCATAAGACAAATGGATTTAAGTCAAAAGGGAACACAGTATTGAAAATTACTCTTGATTCAGGGTTCTCATTGGCAATTTTTTCCACTGATTTGAGAGAAGATTATGTTTTTTTTTTTAATTATGCCCTTCCCCCATATCATGTAATTTGTTTCTTCTCGTTCTGGCTTCAAGTAAATGCTTGTTGCTATTGCATTATAGTTTCAGACATTTAAAGTGTAGGTGTCCTTTCAAATACTTAAGAAAATATAAGTACTTATTATCTCACAAATATGTAATGATGCTGTAGAGGGGAAGTTGAAGTAAACTTTAACTCAGAGAACAAAAATGCCAATGCTAGCAGGTTGGCAAACATGAGTTATGTGAAGAAGAGTACAATAGAAAGTTTCTAAAAGTATATAAAAGCTGAAAGGAGCAAAGAACACATTTAAAAAGATGCTACTGGAGACAGATATTGTATCTAAAGAGAAAATTACTCATAAAGTTTGTTTACATTTCTAAGTGGCTAAAGTTATAAATAAATTATAATAAAAGCATTAGGAAACCTGTGTGTGTACCAATGGTATCACCTTGAGAATTGATGAAACTAGTGTGGGCAAAACTCTGGATGTTGCTGGTAAAGTTAGTCACAGAAACATTTGGCTTTTCTGTGACAGCTAATGCAGAGGTCCCAAGGCTGAGTTCCTCATTTTCCAGTGTTAAACAGTGGATCATAAGTTGTCCATTCTCATGGAATGGCTAGGGGCAGAAATTGTGTGGGTTTGGAGCCAGCAGCAAGAACTGGCTTCCCAGTTCCTCACCTGTCAATGTTGGCTAATTAAGAAAAAAAAAAAAAAAAAAAGGCTTGATCTGTTTAAATACATGAGGCTAGAGTCTATGTGTGTTCTTTGATAAGTGATTGAACCCTAATAGATGCAGGATGACAGAGCAATAAAAGATTAATAATAAAAAATATGAATGATTTTAAAGTTTTGAGGAAGAATTGTGGCCCATTTTCAGAAAATTTAGGGTAAAATCAAGAACCACATGTTTTCTCATTTTAGTGGACTCTTGCCTAATTCTGGGAAAGTGAAGAAAATATCACCAAATTTAGTTCTGTGTGTCTGTGTAGTAGAATGGAAGGTGGGATATTACTGTGAATTTACATAAATAGGATCATAAGAGAATACTATAAAAATTATACAATTTTTTGTATAAAAATTCAGTAACTTAGATGAAACTTAAAAATTCTAAGATTTGGGGCCCCTGGATGGCTCAGTTGGTCAAGCGTCCGACTCTTGATTTCAGCTCAGGTCATGATCTCAGGGTTGTGAGATGGAGCTCTGCGTCGGGCTCTGCACTGAGCATGGAGCCTGCTTAAGATTCTCTCTTTCCTTCTCCCTATGCCCCTCCCCCTCTTTGTGCTCGCTTTCTCTCTCTCTCTCTCTCTCTCTCAAAAAAAATTCCTAGAAAGACACAAACTACTGAAACTGATTGAAGAAGAAATTTAAAATCTGAATAAACCAATAATAAATGAAGAGATTGAATTAGTAATAAAAAAAAAAAATCCCACAAAAAAGCCAGGCCCAGATGGCTTTATGGATGAGTTCTACTAAATGTTTAAAGAGAAATTAACATATTCACAAACTCTTCCAAAAACAAAACAAAACACAGAAAAAGGGGAACAAGTTGATAGTTCATTATACGAGACAGTATGACCCTGACACCAAAACCAGATAAAATAATCACAAGAAAATAAAATCATACACTAGTATCCATTTTTGACTACAGGTGCAAAAATCTTCAACAAAATACTTGCGAACCAAATTTAGTGATATATAAGAATTATGTACCTATGACCAAGTGGGATTTTCCCAGGTATGGAATGTTCATTCAACATATGAAAATTAACAAATACAATACCTCATTTTAATGGAATAAAGGACAAAAACCACATGAACATCTCAATAGATATTACATGAATAGAAAGGAACTTATCCAACCTGATAAAAGGCATTTATGAAAAACCCACAACTAATATCATACTTTATGGAGAAATACTGTTTCCCAAATCAGGAACAATGCCATTTCCATTCTCACTATTTCTATTCTACATTGTTCTAGAGGTTCTAGTCAGGGTATGAGGGGAAAAAAGGAAATAAAAGTCATCCACATTGAAAAGGAAAAATTAAACTACTTCTATTCACAGAAGACATGACCTTATATATAGAAAAGCTTAGGAATCCACAATAAAAATAATCTGAGCAAATAAAGAAGTTCAACAAGAGTACTAGGTACATGTTCAATATACAAAAATCTGTTGTATTTCTACACAGTAGCAATGAACAACCAGAGAAGGAAATTTTTTAAAATTTCATTTATAATTATATCAAAAAGAATAAAACACTTAGGAATAAATTAAGTAAAAGTATAAGACTTGTACACAAAAACTATTAAACATTGTTGAAATAAATTAAGGAAGACAAATAAATAGAAAAACATCCCATGTTCATGGACTGAAAGATTTAATATTGTTGAAGTTGCAATATTCCCCAAATTGATGTATGGATTCAGTGCAATCTCCATCAAAATTTGAACTGCTTTTTTTTTTTTTTTGCAGAAATTAAAAAAAGAACATCTTAAAATTCATATGCAAATGCAAGGGAACCAAAATACCCAAAACAATCTTGAAAAGAAAGTACAAAGCAGGAGTACTCATTCTTCCAGATGTTAAAGTTTATTATAAAGTTGCATTAATCAAGACAGTGTGGTACTGGCATAAAAACTGACATATACATCAATAGAATAGAATTGAGGGTCCAGAAATAAATCTAAACATTCTTGGTCAGTTGGTTTTTGACAAAGGTGCTAAAACCATTCAATGAATGAATGAATAGTCTTTCAATAAATGGCACTGGGACAATTGGATAGCCATATGCAAAAGAATGAATTTGGACTTCTACCTCAAAATGGATGAAAGTTCTAAATGTAGTAGCTAAAACTCTAAAACTCTTAGAAGAAAATATACATCTAAATCTTTGTTACCTTGGGTTAAGCATGTTTTTTCAGATATGCCGTGAAACACAAGCAACTGAAGAAAAAATAGGTAAATTGGACTTCATCAAAATTTAAATATTTTGTATCTCAAAAGACACTTAAGAAAGTGAAAAGACAATCCACAGAATAGGTGAGAATATTTGCAAATCATAAATCTAATAAAGAGCTAGATTTGAATATATAAAGAATTCTTTCACTTCATCAATAAAAACCTAAATAACCCAATTAAAAAACTGAAAGGATTTGAATCTACATTTCTCTAAAGATGATATACAAATGGACAAAAAGCACACAAAAAGATACACATTAGTGAAATGCAAATCGAAACCACAGTGAAATATCACTTCACACTCACTGGGACATCTATGATCAAAAAATTGGAGAATAACAAGTGTGGTGAGATTGTGGAGAAATTTGAACCCTTGAACATTGCTGTTGGAAAGGAAAAAATGTGTAATTACTGTGAAAAACTGTTTGACAGTTCCTCAAAAAGCTTAACATAGAGTTACCTTATGACCCAGCAATTCCATCCTAGGTATATATCCAGCAGAATTGAAAATATATGTTCAAACAAAAACTCATACATGAATGTTTATAGCAGCATTATGCATACTAGGCGAAAGGTAGAAAAAGTGTTCATCAACTGACAAATTGATTAGAAGTGGTATATCCATTCAATGGAATATTATTCATCCTTAAAAAGGAATGGGCTACTGGTACATACAACAACATAGTAAACCTTACAGTAGTCTCTCCTTGTCTGGAGTTTTGCTTTCCATGGTTTCAGTTACCTGTGGTCAACAGTGGTCTGGCAGCAGATGATCCTCCTTCTGAAGGTCAATATTAGTCTAACACATCACCATACCTATGTCATCCCCCTCACTTCATCTCATCACAGAGGCATTTCATCATCTCACATCACCACAAGAAGAAGGCTGAGTACAGTACAATACGATATTTTGAGAGAGAGACCATATTCACAAAACTTTTATTCCAGTATATTGTTATAATTGTTCTATTTTGTTATTTGTTATTGTTGTTAAGAATAGGCTGAAAAGGCAAATAGGTGCCAGAATAGGGAAACCCATGGAGACAGAAAGTAGATTGGTGGTTTCCAGAGGCTAGGAAAGGGCATAGTAGAGAGTGACTCCTCTTGAATACAAGGTTTTGATTTGATGTAATGAAAATATTCTGAAATTAAACAGTGGTGATGGTTGCACAATTTTGTAAATATACTAGAAACTATTGAATTTCATACTTTTAAACGGTAAATTTTATGCTATGTGAAATGCATTGCAAAAAAAAATACCTAGATGTCTTAAAAGCAAAGGCAATTTTTTTTTGCTAAGCATTAAAAAAATTTTTTTCACTGTTATTGAAAATGAACCAAATCTAACTCTCTACACGCCTCGTTAGAGAGTTTCTTCCCCTTCTCAGTCAGAAAGAAGTTATGTACGTCAAGCGTTTCAGTTCCCAGAAAGAATATCTTGGAATAAGTGAGTTCTCAAAAACATTTCAGAGGTAGAGTGGGCAAGCAAGGAAACTATTATCAATGTAATGAATAAGTGTTTTCATATGCATCCTGGTGTTGGTACATTTACATAAATGTTTTCTTAATCCTTACAACAGCATGATATTTTATTACTTTATTTATGTATTATATTACTATAATTGTATATATTTATTTATTACATTTGTTATAATCACAGAGAATGCAAGAAAGTCTACACAGTAGGATGTAAGAAGGGAAGAGCTGATCCAAGAAGTCCTAATTGGAAGACTGTCAGTCTTAATTTGAAGATCAAACAATCATGCATAAAACATAAAGGGAAAACACTTCAGAAAAATCTTGAACAGAATAATAGAAAAATAATTGAAATAGCTAGAAGATAAATACAGACACACACACACAACACATCCAAAGAAATTTTCAGGGCATACAAGCTCAATATCCCACAGATCAGCTTCTGACTAAAAAGTATTAAATAATTTTAGAAAATATGTCTGGTCATTTAAGGCCTTTTTCCTTTCAATTTATGGTCAGTTCTATCATGGCTTATTCCTGATGCCTATTCACTGCCATCTCCAACATAGTCCTCCTCCTCTGATTCCAAACCAGCTGATTTCTCTGTAATAGGTGTATTGTTCTCTTCAACCTGCCCATTTTACCTGAAATTTTTCTCCCTTTCTTATACTAGTACAGGCTATAAGCTCCCAGAGTGAGCACTTATTTTGTGTTGTGTGCCTAGCGTTTTAACCACCATAGGCACTTGATAAATACATACTAAATTAAGGAGCATACATAAAGGACAGCTTCACTATTTTGGTAAAGTGATACGAATTCTAACATCAAGGACAACTGTAATTTAAATCTACTTGCATTCTAATACCAAATATAAATGGCTTTATCTATTTACTATACTTTCCATTGTATTTTTTCCAAATGTGAGGCAATAAAGATTTATAACATGAGAAAAGTAGTACTTCAATTTTAGTGGGCAAAATAAGAATATCTACTTTTGTTTTAGGTCTTGAGCTTTATACTCTCAATGATCTGTAAAAGTAAGGTAATCATCAGATAAAAAACCCCAAACAGATATTGGAGATAAAAAATTGCTTGAATTATTCCAATTTAAGTTATTCATTTACCTAAATTCTTTTATTTTTATTATGAAGCCCAACTTCCTATTCTTTTGACCAAAAGTAAAGTGTAAGTATAGTATGACTCTTTTATTTTCATTTAATTATGCGTTTACTTTTTGTTGATGTTATTTGCTTGTTTGTTTTAGAAAAGCATGTTTCTGGAGAAATTTAGTTTTAACTGAGTAGGCATTTAAATTAAATCTACACAACATGGTACATATTTCTGTTAACAACAAATTATAAATAAGTTTAATATTTGCAAATGGAGTAACCAGTGACTCAATGTTTAAACTAACTTCCTGCCAACCTAGGAAATAGAAACTCTGTAGTTAGAGTTAATTTTATTAATTTTAACTTTATTTTATCTAAAGCAAATAAATTAATATGGTATAATTTAGCTGTTTCTCTCCGCCCTCCCCCAGTAAATAACACCTTCTTGGATGTGATTCAACCGTATATTCTTACCCTATCCCTCTTGTGACACAGGCATGTACTGACGAAAGACCAGCTAAGGATGAAGATGTCATCTATAACCATGGAAACACACAACGTTAACCAGTTCTCGGGCAATCTTAAAGCTAACATTTCTCCTACAGAATGTTGAAAGCCTCAGTGAGATTCCAGTCTCAGAGGACCTTATTCCCTGCAAGGTAAGGGCCTCAAAAGAGAAAAAACACCCTCTTCCTTTTCCACCCAGTGAGGTGATAAGGAAGAGGTGGTGTCCAGAGGCTCAGCCACACCAAATTTTCAACCAAAGCAATGATAGCAGGTAACCCAAAATCTCATCCCCTCACAGAAATCTGCCCTCTCAACGTTTCCCGTGCCACATTGCATGCACACTTCCCACCCACCTCCTGTAGCCACCCCTCTTATCTGTGTCTGAAGGTGGAGGGAGAGCCTTTCATATCTACTCAAAGAAAATCAGATCTATTCCTCCTGTTTTCTTCTGCTTTCTCAATTTTTCCTATTATTAAAAATAGAACAGCTCCAAGTTCTCAGGGTTCACAATAAGACTGCATTTTCAAGTATAAACAATTATTTTACAGGCATAAATATGTAAATTTTGCACATTTTATAAATTCTTGCTTTATCATGTTCTCAAAAGTTTTGAAAATGGCTATTTGGTAAAGTTATGTGTATCTACTTGTTTTCAAGATGATCAGTTAGTTTTGTTCAAAACCCGTTCTATGGACTAATAACTAATGAGTAGAGCTACTATCTTGTAAATGCAAATTTGGCATATAGAAGTCACTCAACAAGGGGCGCCTGGGTGGCTCGGTCGGTTAAGCGTCTGCCTTTGGCTCAGGTCATGATCCCAGGGTCCTGGGATCAAGTCCCACATCGGGCTCCTTGCTCAGCGGGGAGCCTGCTTCTTGTCTCTCTCTCTCTCTCTGATAAATAAATAAAATCTTAAAAAAAAAAGAAGTCACTCAACAAATATATATTAGATGGATAGATAAATGGATAGAATAAAAATGTGATGACTTCATCCTCATTGGAAAAAAGAATTCAGTTGACATTGTGATAAAATGGCCAAGGTTACCTGAGGGGAAAGGAGTAAACAAGGATAGAATGGTCTAAATCGGGGTGCTAGCAGCTCTGTGCCTTGAAGGACATCCTCTCTTTCTGTAAACTCACAAAGAGGACAGCACCTGGATGCAGCCCCTCTTCAGGCCTCCTGCATACTACTAGCCAAGATCTCTAACACTTTAAGAGACAATAAGGACACACAGAGTAAATTAAGGAGACATCTGAAAAACACAGCTGCTATTAAAGGATGAAGGTAGAATAACCAATCTATGTAGTCATGTAAAATAAATGGAATGAGGAGATCAAGAATTTAAAATAAGCATAACAGGGGTGTGTGGGTAGCTCAGTCAGTTGAGCATCTAACTCTTGATTTCGGCTCAGGTCATGATCTTAGGGTCTTTAGATTGAGGCCCGCATTGGGCTCTGTGTTCAGCACTCAGCACTGAGTCTGCTTGAGATTCTCTCTCTCTTTCTCCCTCTGTCCCTCCCCCTGCTCACACACTCTCTCTCTCTACAAATAAATAAATAAGTAAAAATAAAATAAATAAATAAAATCTTAAAAAATAAAATAAGCATAATAAACATGCTGATGATATGAAAAACAAACTGGCAGTTACAATGAAAATTCAAGTGGATATGCTCAGTATGAAAAATGTAAAATTTGAAATAAAAATATCATATGCCAGGATCAAAAGGCAGAGTAGATAGAGAAAAAGAACAAATTATTGAGCAAGAATATCAAATTAAGTAATGCTCCCAGAAGATATCAAGGAAGTTTAAAGAGATGAAAAAAATCATTAATGAAAAACTGAGTGAAATGAAGAGTGGAAGTAGAAGTGTCAAAGCCATAGAATAGAAATTCTGGAAGAAAAAACAAAAATAAAGGGAGGGAAGGAAATATTTGAAGAAATAATAACTAGAGCTTTCCAAAAATAAAGATGAGAATCCTCAGACTGAAAGTACTCAAAGAGTACCAAAGGAAAAGAAAATACACTTCTAAATACATGGCGGTAAAATTTTATGCGATCTAAGTCCAAGAGCAAATTTAAAAGATGCCGAAGAGAAAGAAGATACCTCAGGCTAACATCAGAATTCTAAACAGCTACATTGAAATAAAACAAAACATCACAGATTTAGATGTAGTGAATGAAATGAACTGAGAACTTAGACTTTTATATCTACCTAACCACCGTTTAAGTATGAACACATGACTAAATATGTTCAGGCATTCATGTACTGGATATCTTCTGTTTGTCCACCTGGAATCATCCCCCTTGCATCATTCTGCTCCACGCCTGGATCAAGGCGGCTCTCTTGCCTCTCAGCTATGTTTGGGGAATGGAGACCACTTGCGGATCAGAGGAAGCATGAGTCAGGTTAGTGCATTTGTGCTCATGGCACTTGCCATGAGGAGTAGCATGTGCTGGCTCACACCTCCACTGACAGTCACAGCTTCAATAGGTGGCTCCCTATGCACAGATCTTTCACTGTCTCTCAGTTTCTTCTTTTTCTCCTCCTGTTCTTCCTCTTCTTCCCTCTGCTCATCCTCCATCTTTTTGTCTGCCCATCAGGCCTAAGGATGGGAACACTGCCTTGCTATCATTAGCAGCTGGTACTGTACCAATCCTTCTGTTTTTCTGTACCCTGCTCACTCCTTTGTAAATTGTCCCTTTATTAATGTCACCTCAAATTACTCAGTTTGAGTGTGCCATCTGTCTCCAGACAACACTCTGAATAATAAACATAGCCTCAAGAGGTTTGCCATACAAACGTACTTTAGGAAACACTTGTGAAGGAAATTTTTTGGGCTCCTCTTAAATATATGAGGAATAAAGATAAGTAAATTATCTACTTTTAACTTCAGCAATCTATTTCTAATTTCTTAGAGTTTTATTAACCCCAGTTTTTCCTTTTGTAGCATGTTTTTTTGATGGTTTTATAAAAATAATATCTTCTTACACCTCTGTGAGAATAGTACTAATTAAATGCATTTCTAAATTTTCTTTTTCTATCTTGAATTATTTGATTATTCTAGAGTTAGTTTTCTATCTCTATCATAGTCTCCTTCCTTCATTTTTCAGGATGTTCTAAAATGTCTAACAATCCTTTAAGGAGGCAGAAATGAGAACTGACTGAGAGCTCCATGAACATGGGCTGATGGTGGCAAGTGGCTGGTTCTGATTAGGCTAACTGAGTGTGGATTCATTACACTAGGGCACTCTGGCATTCCAGAACCCTGTGGTTTCTGCCAATAGTCACACTAATTGCTGTAGCTCTCCAATTTCATTCAAAAGGAAACCTGTGTGTTTGTGGGGGGGGGGAGGAATTGTCAAGTACTGAGAATTAAACACCTTTGTTATGGCCATTTTGTACATGGTGAATAATGGGATGGACTGGGGTTGCTAACCTTTCTGTAGACAAATCATCAAGGAATTCCTTCCCTTTTTCTCTCACTCTCCCTCTCAGATACCCTCTAAAAGATCCCAAGTCTCTCTAGGATTCTGCTGAAGAGAGTAATTCCTTCTTTTTGCTTTGGTCTTCCCTGGGTGTATTCTAACCTATAACTTCCACTGTTTTTCTTCATGATTATGATGTTCATAATCAACATCTAAGTTATGTTTTCAAGAAATTTATTGAAAATTCTCATCCACAGTGACTACCCTTTGTTTTTCATCGATGTTGTGGGTTTGTACATTTCATTACTCTTTTGTTATCATTCTGGTAGGATTTCAGCAAGGAAAATAAATATGTTCACACAGTCTGCTATCTTAAATAAGAAATTCTTTATTTTTGAACCCATTCAGGCTGGTGGAGTTTAGAGAAAAACTGTGACACTTGAACATCTACTCCCTACAAAGAGGAGCTATAATTATAGGTTTCCTGGATGATCTTTTTCATTGAGATCTCCTTTTTTAAAACTACCTTTGCCAGATCAAAGATTTCTTTTAAAAATGGTTTCGGGGCACCTGGGTGACTCAGTTGGTTAAGCGTCCAACTCTTGATTTCGGCTCAAGTCATGATCTCAGGATCATGAGATTGAGTCCCACATGCTCAGCATGGAGCCTGCTTGAGATTCTCTCTCCCTCTCGCTCAGCCCCTCCCCATAGTGTGTGTGCATGCACTCTTTCTCTCTCAAAAAATAGTAACAATAAAATAAAATAAAAATAAAAATTGTTTCTTCATATGTAGGTTTTCCTGAGTTAACACAGTTTTGTAAACATAGCAACAGCCCAGGCATCTGTCATGGTGACCAGAAACCAGTGGAGTTGGCACAATATTTCACTTACTCCTGTCTTCTCAGGATTCTAAATACACAAATTGGAGTATGTCCTTTTATCTCATTTCTTTCTGATTTTTTTCTTTCATAGATGAATCATAATCTCAGTTCTAGAAAACAAAAATCTGAGTGAACAAGAGGACAAAGGGCCTGAGATATAAACCAGGAAGGCTGTGCATGTTTTTAAAGTACATAGATCCACCTGATTTTATGACTTTCTTCCCCCTTTTCTCTCATTTGCCAACCAACCTTCTTTAGCCTCATCTGGTTCAGAGTAGAAAGGATTTTCTTGATCTTGAAATGGAAATAGGGTGTCTAGGTCTGACACATAGTAGGAACTCCAAAAATATTGTTGAATAAGTGAATAAAGAACAACATCTAAAAATATGTAGCCAATCTACACTTTTTCATGGGTGGGTCTCTTTCAAAATTCGAAGGACTCCTGTATTAAATTATATTGCCACCTTGGTCAAAATAAGTCATCCATATATATGTGCATCCACTCTTGATATCTATTCTTTTGCAATTGTTTATATGTCTATCCGTAGGCCAATGCCATGCTCTTTTGATTATTGTAATTTATAATTGGTCTTCAAACAAGGTGGTATATGCCCTGCAACTTGGTTCTTCTTTTTAAAACATATTTGGACTTAGAAATTAATCTTAGTCAAACTAGCATGCATAGTGCTAATGTCCTGATCCATAACAAACTATGATAAAAGAGGTGATTTTTTTTTTGCTTTTGTTTTTGTTTTTGTTTTGGTAGAGTGGAAGAAAAGACATAGCTCTTTTTGACATAATGATCAATAATGAACTAAAAGGCTTAAAGGTCTGAGCAGGGATGCATATCTTTTCACTGATTTCATAGACATTTTACCCAAATGCTAATGAATGGTTTTAATGACTAGCTTTCTGTACCCCTCCACAACCCTACCTCTTGGATCCAAAGAGACCTTTTCAATTCTCACTTCAAGCACAAATTAAGGGGAAATCAGATGGAAAAAAAATGAGTGACAGCCCAAGGCAAAGGAAAAAAAAGGGGGGGAGGAAGCAGATGCCTGGGTGGAGGACAAAGGCCCTAAGAGGCTCAGGGGCCTGTGAAGTCAGAGGAAAGCAAAATAAAGACCATTACCACAGCTCCTTTTGCAAATCGAAGGTGAACTCTCTCTGGGCTCCACAAGCTGTGTTACAACTTCGTCAGGACTCAGTGCCCAGACTGGACTCAGAGCTGATTTGGCTAATTGTATCAGTTTCTCGATAATGGATTGGACCAGTTTTCTCTTCCAAACCTTTATAACAGAGTAAAAAGATTGCATGTTTAAAGGACAATTTAAAAAGTGCTCTATTGGGACACCTGAGTGGCTCAGTCGTTAAGTGTCTGCCTTCAGCTCAGATCATGATCCCAAGGTCCCGGGATCGAGCCCCGGAATCGGGCTCCCTGCTCCATGGGAAGCCTGCTTCTTCCCCTCCCGCTCCCCCTGCTTGTGTTCCCTCTCCCGCTGTGTCTCTCTCTGTCAAATAAATAAATGAATAAATAAATAAATAAAATATTTTTTAAAAAATGCTCTATTTTTGTTTCTGAAATGTCATTAATGCAAGGTGAGGAGGGGAAAGTCTTTCATAGAATGGACATTTTAGAGTAATTATTTAAATTATAATTTAATATCTAAATGTTTTTAGATCAAGGTGTGCAATGCTTAAGAATTTTAAAAATCTCTAATCTTAATAATTAAATGGTCAGTAACAGTGTTGATTTATCCATTCTTCATTAAGTTATATTTGGAGCATGTGTACACATCAAATTTAGGAAGAGTCAGATGGATATTTACTGATTAAATAAGGATAAGCAAAATCAGAGAATTTGATTCATATTTAATGGCTTAATGATTTGATGACAATTATTGTTTTGCCACAGGGTAGCTAGTCATAACAGGAGGATGCACACACATAACCCATAATAAGTCCATTTCAACACAAACCAAATCATCAGGTTTCTTCTCTTGACTTTGTTAATTTTCTTGTGTCATATTGCCATTTTTTCTTAATACCACACAATGTTTCGTTTTTGTTTCTTTATCCATGTTTATCTTGACACACCTATAAAGTTAAATGTCTGTATTTTGAAAGATCCCCATGGCCTGAGTTCTCTGGTTCCCAAACCTTGAAGCTTCACAAGTGAAATACCGTGAGAATTCGTGAGCTTCTCTTCCTTTCTGTCCTTCCTGGCAGAAAGAGGAAGTGCTGGAAGACTGGAGGCAGAAGAAACACCTGAGCCAAGAGGCTGTGAATGGATTTTGGGAACCTCAGATGTTAAAGGGGAAGTGACAGGGCCCTGGGACATGGTCACTGGTTCCATGACATTTGAGGGTAAGAAGAGAAGACTGGAAAGAAGAGCGGTTAAGCTCAAGGGAGATTTAGGTCAGGGATAGGGGTGGGGAACTCTGTTGTTCTTCCTGGCCTCGCTCTCTTGGGGGTCAGCCTTGAGCACAGTAAAATCTCATGGGCTTGGAGCTGATTCTCTCTCTCATCTGCTAACTACATCAGAAAGTCCTTTTATATAACAGTCTTTCATCCCACCAGTAAAATAAGGGGTTTAAAAATAGAAATAGTTGAGATAGTTAGACTGGCCTACGTCTATTACAGTCAACCTATACATGAGGATCCCAGAAATATCCTCCTTTTGATGAGAGGAACCAGCTACCAACCAGGCACAGGTGGAAAGCTGGACTGGGTTACGGGCCACTCTCAGGAAGCCAAAGGGAACAGAAAGGGGAGGCCTGGAAAATGCTTCAGAACGTGAGGGTGCTTTAGAGTACAAAGGGCTGGCAGTGGCCCTGAGAGGCAAAGGAGGCACCACACCAGTTTACACAGGAAAATATAGAGGCTTAAAGTGGCTCAGTACCTTGCCAGTCATCACGGCAGTGGTAGCTGGTAGGGCTGTAAGAAGCTCAAACCCGGCATCTGCCTCTAAATCTCACCCATCTGTCATTTTGCGGCTTCTCCATCTTCTTGGACTTTATGATTATTGGTCAGACCTCATTTGCAAGAGACTGTATCACCAAGCTCCAACAGTGCACTGCAAATTACATTACTGTATTCAACTATTAAATTATTCAAGAAAGAAGGTATAATTTTTAAGTTATTTTCTCATGGAATTTAGCAATACACAGAAAGTCACCTTACAGGGGTGCCTGGGTGACTCAGTTGGTTAAGCACCCGACTTTTGGTTTCGGCTCAGGTCACGATCTCATGGGTCCTGAAATGGAGCTCCCATCGGGCTCCTCACTCAGTGGGGAGTCTGCTTGAGATTCTCTCCCTCTGCCCCTTTCCCCCACCTCTCTCTCTTAAATAAATAAACAAATCTTTAAAAAAAAGAGTCATATTACATTGACTGCATTGTGGGGGAAACATCTATTTCTGTACTGGTTTTTTTCTTAAATCCACTTTTATGATCTAGAAGGATGGTTTACTAATTTTTCAAAACTGTGTTTTCATGTATGTTATATTTTTTATGAAAAAATGATTTATTTCCTTCTTTTTATCATTCCAAGAATAGAAAATTATTTACCCTTTGCTCAAAATAATTTTCTCTTCTGAGTAAGCTATGAATGATACTAATTATGAAGACCTTGTTATAATTAGTGCCCACTGCCTAAAGCAGAATTCTCAGAAAGTTCAGAATTGAACAGGGCAAGATGTCATTTGAGATATTTTTTCTCCTCTCGTTGTTCACACAATTTGACTTCAATTTTGCCATCACTGAATGCTTCTCCTTTGGTCTCTTCCACAGGATTCTCTCTGCGGGAAAACATTGCTTTCTTCTGCATCATTGTTATTCCTGAACTTCCATGCCTTCGTGCTGGAGATAAGGTTTCTTTTACTATGCAATAACAGACTACAGATAAAAAATTTTTTTTGAAGTTTTCATTCAGAAATGCATAAACAATGGGATTACAAATGGAATTGGAAAATCCAATTATTTGCACTATAGCAAAAATCATCTTGATTGTGACATCGTCATATTCCTTTTCAAAATTGCCTGAAATAAAAAGTAATAGTGTAGACTGCATTATGTTCTAGTGAGCAGAGAGTAAAATTTCTGTTTATCATCTGTCTTTACCGAACGCTTCAACAAGTGGCTAAAGGTGTGAGAAAGTCTCAAGACAATTTTGGGAAGAATCATCTGATTTCTGACGAAAAATAAGTCCTGTGATGCATCCTCATTCTTAGAGAGTCTTGGCTCGCAAGCACAACCTGGCACTCAGCACATATTAGAGGGCTGACAGCATTTCCACTGGATTCCAAGCTTCATGTAAACTGGAAGCAGCGGTTACCATTCAAATGTTTGCTTGTGTTATGGAAACACAATCACCTGAGAATTATGTTAAGTCTCAGATTATCAGAGGTGATACACTGATGGTCTGGCTGAAACCCTAGGTGTTATCAAATACATGTGATTCAAGTCAGTATTCTAAAATCTAAACAGAGAACACTCAGAGGATGTTACGCTTCTCCCAGTGTTTGAATGGCTTAGGGAGAATGGGAAGCATGGCATGAAAGAAGACTCAAAAACGTTTCTGTATCTTCTGTAATTATTAAAGAATTGGTCAAAGTCATACACAATTACCTACCATGTAACGATCTGGTGGTCTTGAAAACATGAAAGAATCCCATTAAGGGTTTGATATTTGATTACCCAAGTGAAGAGCAACAATTTTCCATGATTCGTTGTCCATTCGAACAGGAAATGAACTAGAACGTCTATCAAGGGAGAATGAAAAGCACTCACTGTATTCAGTGATCATGTGAACAATGTGGAAAGGTGCCCAGCACGCAGCAAAGAGAGCCACCACCGTCACCATCATAATGACAGCTCGCTTCTTCTTCCTGGACCCATAAGGATACACTGTATGAGTTAACTTCTTGGCAAATTTGTCACAGTGATATCAAAGTTATTAAATCAAGTTTGAGCCTAAAGCTCTCTACCTTAATTTTTCACATATTAATAAAGCTCATGACAGGTTAATGGTGGACTCTTTCTCATCTTTTCCCATCGCTTTTACCCTCATCCCTATATTTCTCAGATTATCAACCTCCTTATGATGTATGCTCAAGACGGGGCTAGCACCCTGCTAGATGCCTGGCATGGATCGCATCATTCACCTTCTCAGTAAGCCACTTGGTGGAGGCAGAAACTGAGGCACAGAGAAGGTTACGTCACTCGCAAAGTCAGACGGCCAGTAAGCACTTAACTGTAAGGGCGAGTGTGGACTTAAAGTTAGGCCGCTTAACTTCAGTGCTTAAGCTCTTACTCAATTTATATTGAAGAGCACTCTTCTGAAGAAGTGGGAGAGCTAAATCAGCAGTAAGTCCCAGGGTGCTCAACAGTCCAGGGCTCCTCACTGACAGGGAGGATTGCTTCATACAAACTGCGTCACTAGAGGTCGCTGCACACTTGAAGAAATAAAATTTCATCAAACCACGAAACTCTTTATAAGGTTTTTGTTTTTGCTTTTGTTTGTAATAGCCATTCCATGTAGATTACAGAATAAACCATATGGGCTACAAGTACCATATCAGTAAATTGTGTTTGAAAATTTTTTTATTAATGAATGTGATCAGAAAAGAAAGCCCTTATTATTATACCAATAATAATAATTTAAAGTAAATAGCATACTCTGGTCACCAAAGGACTTTCATACATCTCTCATGTATTTTAGCATCTCTTTTGGGTAGGAGGAAGTGAGGATGGATATTTATTAAGCTCCCTGGTACACAGGAGGAAAGCCGGAAGCTTAGGAGTAAGGATGCTCATCCACACCACGTGGCTGGTGAGTGGCGGGGAAGAACACACCACAGCTCTTCCCACCATGTCATACCGACATGGAGATGAAAATGTAACAATTTTCTAAATTCCTACCATACCTAGGGCACCTGGGTGGCTCAGTTGGTTGGGCGACTGCCTTCGGCTCAGGTCATGATCCTGGAGTCCCGGGATCGAGTCCCACATGGGGCTCCCTGCTCAGGAGGGATTCTGCTTCTCCCTCTGACCCTCCCCCCTCTCATGTGCTCTCTGTCTCTCTCATTCTCTCTCTTTCAAATAAATAAATAAATAAATCTTTAAAAAAATAATAAAAAATAAAAAAAAATAAATTCCTACCCTACCTAAAATCTCCATACTTTAAAGTCAGCCCATGCCCTAAACATGAATTAGAAATGGCACTTGGGCTAAATTTCCCAGGAATTCAGAAATGTCTGGCAACTGCTCCTTCAAGCACGACTAATTAAAGGCATTTTAAACAGAGGTGAGTATTTCATTAAACGGACCTGGTTATTTTTGACATTTTTTTTCCATGAATAGTTCGGAGCACTGAGCAATCGCCCACTCTCTTCTTTATCCAAAGTTCATAGCCGATTTTACTGTAGAGGCTAAGCATCAGCATGAGAGGCAGGAGGAAGAGAATGACAAGGATGAGGGTGGTATCGATTTTCCGGTGTGCAGGGCTGGCCCACTCTTCCAGACAGCAGACATGTTCTTTTTCATATAAGAAGTCATACTTAACCTTTAACAGAAGAACAATTCAGTTAGAAGAACCAGAGTCAGCATCCAAAGAAAAGAAAGCAGCCGAGTACTATTCTAATGCTGCATTTTTCAGATCCTTACATATTTACTGGGGGTACATATTGCAAACGAGACACATTTTTATGGTTCTTTTGTTGTGAAGTGTCATTTTTCCACTTCATTCCATACGTTCTTAACGGTTTTATACTTTCTTTTCTATTTTAATGGAATTGAGATCAATAGCCGGTTTATTTATTTTTTTAATCTTTTACCACTTTTTACCTGATAGCCATAATTTTTGAATTAGGTGAAAGAAAGCCATACTCTTTGGCCAGAGTATGTATGTATACCATCCAGAGGAAGAACTTGGTTTTCCAGATGAAGAATACACTACAATAACCAAAGTATGTATGAAAAAAGTATTTTGTATTTGCATGCCAGCTAGTTTAATGTTACATTATTTTGCTTCCTCAATTGTTGAGGAGACAAACTTTGGCAAGGCATCAGATGTCTCTCAATTGATAGTACTGACAGCTTGTCTTTTGTTACTGCTATTTCAGATTGGAATGATCAGGTTGCTTGCAAAGATTTTAGAAAGGTAACTGATAGCTTTAAGATTCTGGGATGAATAAGAAATTGGGATTCAAACTATGGTCAATCTACAAATATTCAGACTCAGCTATAAGCCTCTGAGGTAGATATTTTACGGAAAGGCAATGTCTCCTTATTAATACTATTTCTGACAGACTCATGAGTTCAAAATATTATTAATAACAATATTAATAATAATAGCGAATGCTAATAAGGGACAAACTATTCAAAGCATATTCGAGAGTCATTTATCTGGATAATAAGAACAAAAGAGAATTTAGCAAAACTACTGCCATTCTCTTCTCTTCAGAGCTTTCCAGATGAAGAATACCTGGGTCTTAGATGTATTTCTGCCTTCATTCCTGCAAATTTTATCACCAATCTTTAATCAGTTGAATTGGGGAAAAAGCTTCCTCGTATACTCATCAAAGGTAAGAAAATTCAAGCTCTGATCGAGGTGTTATTTACAAATAAAGGAGGGATGAAAACATTTATTGGATAATAATTTCAAGATCCAAACTCCCTGGGAACTGGAAATAAAGTGAACCGGATATAAAGTGAAAGTGATTCCATGTAGGCAGAGCCCACAAAGGTCAACAGCCATGGGTCAACACATTGGTATATCTTAAGACACAAAGCTACCCCAGCAGTCTCCAGAGAGGTGCATGTTGCTCTGGGGAGACTTTCTGAGGGCACGGGCAGATGGCTTTAAAGGAGCCAATTTCAGATCTTCGTACGGTTCCCTAAAATTCCACTGCCTCAGGGCGCCTTGATGGCCCAGTCAGTTGAGTGGCCGGTTCTTGATTTCAGCTCAGGTCATGATTTCAGTGTCCTGGGATCGAGCCCTGTGTCAGGCTCTGTGCCCAGTGGGGAGTCTGCTTGGGATTCTCTCTCTCCCTCTGCCTCCCCCCCTTCCCTCTGCTCGTGCTCTCTCTCTAAAATAAATAAATAAGCAAACAAACAAACAAACAAATAAATAAATAAATAAAATCTTTAAAACTCCACTGCCTAAGAGAAGCCTGAGACTGAGTGTTGTGCTGGGTCTACGTTCCCAGTTCCTCATTTCTAATCCCTCTTCTTCCCAGCTACATAAGCCAGATCTCTTACCCAGCCCCAGTCTTACTAGGAGGCACTGATAAAGGAGGTGGTTTGAATTACTGATGTCAGTGAAGCCACCATGATCAAGAAACCATAAATACGTGACAGGGCTTTGTGCTTCTTCCTATAGTAAACATGTTTCTATTCAGGGTAAAGCTTGGCGTTAGAAAAAAGGTGCTTTGACAGGTGTTGAGATGTCGTGAATTTACATTTTTCATCCAGCGAAGGGGCAGAAGTGATGACAATTTTAATTTAACCACCTCATTGCTTCTATCCCCTGAAAATTGTCAAATACATCACTCCTGAGAGAGAGTCCAGTGAGAGCAAAGCAAAGAGAACTTCAGTGGATGGAAATGGTGAAGTCGGTGGTGCCTTGTTTCACCCAGGTGAGAAATTCAGGCTTTGTGCATGCTCACACACATTCTCTCTGGTAGAATTTTAGAAGTGAGAAGGAGGCCATGAGGATACATATTAATACATTTGTCTGGCATGGAAAATGAAATCACACTTCTTCCTGACAGAAAGCAAATCTGATTCGGCTGATTTATCCGATAGGGAGGACTGGCTTTGCCAATTACATATGCATTTTCTACAAACTAAATGAGTTACACATTTAAACTATATTTAGAGCATATGATAAAATAATTCTATTTGAAGAAATAGACAAATCCTCTTGTGGCTAGGGGCCAGGAATGGACCCCACAAAGGAGTGCTGGGTTAGGTCACCTATGAGAGGACTCCCTTGGTACAGGATTCCTGCTGGGGTAGGGACGGCCTTGGAGAAAAGAGCTGGCAACAAACAGTTGTGTGTGGAAGCTAAAGGGTCTCGACGAGCAGCTGCTGGAGAAGGGAATAGCAGTCAGAAGCCTCAGTGATGTTATCTTTGAAAAACCCACAAGCAAAGAGTGGAGCATGGGCAACAGTCGCGCGCAGAGGGCTTCGATACCAGAGTACAGCTGTCCCCTCCTCTCCTCACCCTTTTAACCAGCTTCCAAGGAGCCAGAGGCAGTCAATTGAATGGGAAAAGAGAAATGCACAGTAAGGAAGGGGAGGAGAGGGGGATCACGCCCCTTTTCCATATGGTAGGGTTCTAGACCTAAAAATAGCTTAAGCTGAGGGAAGGGGTTGTTTTGCATTGATTGAGAGTAGGGATTTATGTGATTGTGGCACCGGGCTGGGCATTTAACCACAGAGTTAACACTGCTGTTGTGACTGAAAGTGACCAGAGGAATGTTGCTCTCTGAATGGTTGGAAGAGTTACAGGGCCTGCTCAGGGCTTCATCCACGACACTGCATCAGAGTCCTGGGAAGTCCTCAGATCACATTTCTGTAGGTAGCAAGGGACAGAATAAAATTACCTCCTGCTCTCACCTCTGGAGTCTAGCTCATTCAATATACCGGTCACATAAAAAATCAAGTCATGTTTTCAATGTACCCTTGCCTGAGGGCTCATTTGTTATCCTTCCAATGGACATTGCACATCCAATAAAGTTTCACATTTGCTTCTGTCAATTTAAAAAGGTATAAAAAGGACACATGGTTTAAAAAATTATCTTAGTGTGTATGTGAACAACTCCCTACTGCCTTTGAAGACTACTGTCTGGGCTAGATCACCGATACAGGACATGCTGAAATATGTATGCCCCACTGGGGAGACTGGGTCACCAAAAAACAGCACCATGCTCCCTCCACTGTGAATCCCCATGCAATGCTGGGCCCATCCAATAGAGGTGTGAGGGAAAGAGAGAGGTCAGATAAGATGATCCTGCCACACATTCCAATTCAAATTTCAATTTGTCAATGTATGGGAGATAGATAAGAAAGGACTTATGAAGGAGAATCAACTAATAAGCAGATAGTTGATGACGATTTTTTAATGTGATTTAAAAATAAAAGAAAAATCTAGAGCAACCATTGAACTCTTCAAATGTAACAAGACAATGTAGAAAGTGACCCTGGTAAATTTTCTTTTAAGTATTAAAGCCTTTATAATATAAGATCAAAGGAGAGCTAGATAAACAGAGGGGGGAAAATCTTAAAACAAATTATTTTATTCCACTTGAAATTTTTTCAATGAAATAATTGGGACATACAAATTTGCAGGAAGAAATCAGATTATCATTGAGAAGGCTGGGAAACATTTCAATAATATGACTACCAATCCCAAGCCCGACCTACCTCAAGGCGTTGCACATGCCACATGGGTGATCCAACGATGACTGCCACCAGCCAAACCACACCTGCCAAAACTTAAAATCATCAGAATATGGCTCCATCAGTGAAGCAAAACACATGCATGCTCTGAGCATAAAGACTCCTTATATGCAATCATCGCTGCCCTCAAGCAGTGTAGGGGTCTACCTGTTCTCACGGCCACTCTTTCACCATCTTCAAAATTGCTGCTGGAATAGTCCTCTTTAAAACAATAAACAATAAAACTCCTGAATAGTGTTTTGGTGACTAAACCCTTAACATGGTTCCTGAGGTTCTCTCACTTGCCCCTCTCTCCTCGTACATTTCTGTCCGTGTTCTTCAAACCAGAGTCCTCTACTGAGGAACTTAAATAGTTGCTTTCAGTCCCTGTATCCCAGAATGCATTGAGCTGTTCTGTGCCCCAACACTGTCACACTGGACTGGCACCTTATTCTCACTACCTGTGAATTCATTTTCCAGGACTTGACTCAAATGTCACTTTCTCTAGGAAATCTTTGAAGGCCACCATCATTTCCAGATAGAACTGACTGCTAATTTCCTGTTGTCTCTATGTGCCCTCTAGTCATTTGCTTAGTCATTTCTTTTCAACTTCCTTAGTCATTTCTTTTCAACTTCCTCTAAGTTCATTGAGGGCAAAGACAATGCAATTTACTCTTTTTGTTTGTTTGTTTCCCCAAACAAGAGTCCAAGGAAAATTCCTGGCCCTCAGTAGATGTTGATCAAGCACCTGCTGTCCGGTTCTTACAACTGAGTACCATTTATCTTAAGCCTCATAACATGAGGCTTTACAAAAACAAACACTTAAAACATCAGAAACCAGAGTGCTCTTTCCAAATTCCCTGTCCTCCATGGTTTTGGTGAGGGAATTGCTTTAATGATGTGTCCTTAGCCAGAAACAAAAGAGAATCTGAACAGACTAGGATGAGGCCAGAACCAAGAGACCCAACATCAATTCTGAGAGCAATTTCTCGGCTCAAATTCTTCTTGTTCTTCCTATATTGAGTAGCACCATTGAGAAAACAGTATATTGCCTTGGGTTTCAAGAAACTGAGACTCACTTAAACTGTCACTGGGGTTTATTATAAAGAAACACATGAACTGGCCCTGCCTATAGAGAATCATTATTATTCAAAGATTTAAGACAGTTCTGACTCACAAATCAATCTCTCTCCACATTGCCATACACATATATTCTATTCTAGTCCGATCAGTATCTCATATTATCTTATGTCCAATCACTTTTCCAATCTTTAGTAGAAATTCTGGAGGAACTGAGTCTAATTGGCTTGACTCATTGCCAGTCCTTCTGGGTTTACTGCCTGTTCAGGGATTGAAGGGCCAGGGTTAGATTTATATTACTGGTATAATCTGTGAACACTTGTGGGCAAGTGAGTCTAGCAGGTCGCTGCTGGCGGTGGCCCTGGGGGCAAAGCAGTCTCAGCTAGGAGGTACTGGGCACAAAGACAAGGTTGGTTCCCAGTGTAACAGAGCTAGAGAGAGCTCTCAGGCAACACTGCACGAAAGTCCCACGGGGAGATGAGACTTCTTGATTTAAAATCCTTTCTGTCTCCCATGACTTTTTTGAGTAGAAATTGCCTTGACTTCCTGTTATTGACTTTGCCTTCAGATCTTGAGACTCTCTACTTCTCTTTCCTTTTTTAATAACGTCCCTCCTCCATGTATTCCTTTTTTCATCCACTTTCCACACCCACACATGCTTTTCAGATGTTTTGAAGGTGGAAAGATGTCAATTATTAAAAGCAATGAGGCCTTTGAATTCTTTGTAGGGAGGATATGCCATACATTTGAAACTAACTAAAACTAATGAATATTTTCCCTGTTGATTTATCTATTCATTTCAAACTATGTAAAATGAGTTTGGCATTGCAAAGCCTTCAGGAGTTCTTTCTGTAATTCTATTCTCCCATGCTGGCTAAATTCTTATAGCAGAAATAAATGTTTACTCATTCCTCTCAAGTGAGATAAAATTAGTAAAAATTGCTCTTTGGTTATCGCCTTAGTTGCTCCCTCAATCTCTCATTGATGAACTATCATACATTCAAACCACTGGGAAGCACATTAAGATTTTAAATGCCTCAATGATAATGATCGAATAGAGAAATTCTTCTCTCTTACTATGCTAGGTTTTAGGACATTGCTTCAAGTTTGCCACTTATCAAGAGGTACCTGCTCATCATGACTTGCTGACTCAGGAATGGTTACAGCAAACTGAGGATTCAGGAATGCCTGAAGCAAAATTATGAAGTGGATGGAATTTGTGTTCGTCAGGCACCTCTAGCACTCAGCACCCGGGGATCTCATGAGCCCTGTGGACTTCTGCTATTGTGGCCTCACCACTGGGGCCACCTCTGAGCAGCACCCCTATTCTTTACCTTTCGAAAAAGCACCTTTCCTTCCCCTATCAAAATCTACCTGTTCTAAGAAGGGCATTTTAGCTTAGATGCCTCTTACCTGAGGATAACAGTTTACTAATCTAATAAATGTTACTGTGGTAATGCCACTGAAAGGTTATCTTAAATTAGCTGAAAGTAGTGTTTAAAAGTTAAGACTTAAACTGAAGAAGTAACTCTGAAATGGGAGATTTTAAGTGTGGGGGTAGGCCTAAAGGAGAAAAGGAGTGAGGGTCAGGGTAAATGGGGAGACGTCTAAAATCCTGAAGTTACACCCCGATGCCTACAAGCTAGACAAGAAGCTACTTGTCTGGTTCATCAATACAGTTCGCTGTGAAGAAATTCTGTGTGTTATGTAATAAAGAATGGCAATACTGCCCCTGGTACATCCTCACCTAGCACGGTGAAGGCCCTTCTGTTGGTGTATTGCCACTTCATTTTAAAAGGATGCACAAGTCCCTGGTGCCTTTCCACAGCAATGCAGGTCATGGTGAGAATTTCTGTCACGATAGCAGTAGACTGGACAAATGGCAGCATCTTGCAAATGAAAGCACCTACAACAAGGAAACAGGACAAGTTAAACATCAAGAATAAAAGTGTTATCTGTGTCTCTGTAATTGTTGCAGTTAATTAATTCTGAACCTCTGTTCAAAAGTTTTATGACTATAATTACATTATAGATTCAAAATAATTGAGAAAGTTTGAACTGGCTGGTATTTTCTCTAAGTACCTAAATTATAGGTGATTACTTGTAAGAGGACAATGAAAAGGCAAGTAAGTATCTGGTCATGCAGGAAAAAAAAAATCAATGTGAGTCTTGCTTAAGAAAGAGCAAAGGCAGTGTGAACTGGTCTCCTGGAGTCTCAACCACACAGCAATCTTTGATTATTTCTTCCTTTTTTTGTTCTCTGTCAAATCATAACAAAGGAAGAATTCTCACCAAAGACTCGGATCTCTTCTTTTATTTTTTATTCTCCTTTGACTTTCCGTCCACGACCTTACGTGTGGCTTACATCATTACACTCTTAACTGATTTCACTTTCTCGAATGCAAAGGTCTCAAACGGGTGGCCCCTGGGCAAGATTTGGTCTGCACACATGCTTTGCATGATTTACACAATATTATTACAATATATGAATACATTGTCAGCATTATGAAACGTTTACACTATCTTTCTTGGCCTTCCACCATTTATTTGTAACCCTGGTCTGGTGTTTCCGCTCTTGAATCTATCCTGTTCATTGCTACCAAATTAATTATTCTGATTTATCAGTGAATCAGAAGGTCAAGGAATATGAAAAGTTGGAAGAGACCTCAGAAGTCATGGAGTCCAAGCTCTCACCAAAACCAGAAATCGTCTTTTCAACTTCTCTCACAGATGCTCTGCCAAGCTCTGCTTAAATACCTGCAGAGGAGTCTTGCTTGCCAGCATACTGCCATCTCAAGCTGATGCTTGGCTTTTTTTTTTTCTTTTCTTTCTTCTGCTTAGAATGCTCTTCCCCCAGAGAACTCCCTCCCACCCTTTACCAAAGACTTTACTCAAATTCCTCCTCAGTGAGGCTGACCTGATCTGACAGTGTATCTGTAACTAAGGTCTGCCCCATTCCCCTTCCACCTCCTCTCATCGCTCGGGTCTTATTCTACTCTTTTCCCATAACTCTTTCACCTTCCAACAGACTACATAATTTACTGATTGGCTTCATTTCTCATTAAATGTTTCCCCATACCTTCCAGAATGTAAACACCCTAGAGTGAGGATTCTTGTCTGTTTTCCTCACTGACACATTTCAAGCATTTAGAGTGGCACAAGAAGGATCTCAAACGACATTCACTGAATTGAAGATAATGAGTAACCCAGGAGGCTTTTGACCTTTAGAAGTGCCTCCATTCAACTTTGGAAAGTCTCTTACTGGAGAAAGTGCTTTTTAATAGTTCCACCCACTTCTTCCAGTTTCGCTTTCTGCTTTCTGAGAGTTTCAGAACTAACCAACTATCTTTTCCAAACATCAGCTCTTTCTTATATTTGAAAGAAGCTTTCATGTCACTCCTAAGTCTTTTCCTTTCTGGTTGTCCCAGCTGTTCCTCATTTGACATGCTTTTCAGAACTTTCAATTCCTTGGACACCTTCCAAGGACTTCCTCTGGTTAGTAACTACACAGTTCAGAAGGAAGGAAACCTACCATCCTCAAAATGTGGTCTGGCTAAAGCAGAAACTGCAAGACTACATTGCCTCCTTGGGTCTGAACACCCTCTTCTGTGACTATAACTAAAATTTACATCAGCCTTTGGTGCTAGAATTTTCACATGGTTGGTTTCTGTGGCACTTGAAATCAACTTGAAATAAACTGGATCTAATAGAAAATTATTGTTTTTTATAGAAAAATTTTTTTAATCCAAGATCTTATGACTAAGGAAAAAAATGTATTTAGATATCACTCTAGATACCCCCTTTCCAGTCCTTTTTGGAAGCTCCAAAGCCAATCACATTCATTCTCATCCTCTGTTCCAGTTCCCCAAATCCCAACCCTGTTCAATGTTAGGGTCTTTCCTTATCTAGCAAGATAGTTTATATGCCAAGTGCAGAAATTTGCTTTCAATACTAATGTATTTCACTCTTTGAATACTGATCACACTGTGAAAGAATTAAATTACCTTAAATCCTGTTTTGGATGTGAGACTTGAATAAAGGAATATATGAATAAATTATTTATCTGAAAATTTCTCCTTTTTTTGTTTTTGTTTTTAAATGTGATGAGAATTTCTTCCATTCTTTTAAACAAGTTGTTTATTAAAAAAAAATAGTTGGACAGGCTGAGGTTAAAGAAACACCAGAAGAAACTTTCCATGAAATGAAAACATGGACTCATTATCAACACAATTTAGGTATAACTATCCAAACAACTAAGAATTATTACGGTAGTGTTCACTGTAGTCTTATCTCATGGTAGTGTTATCCATCCTAAATATATTCATCTTTCTCATAATAGCATAAGAAATTGGTCAACTGATCCCCTGCTATCAGGATGGACACACTGTGATCCCAGTTCACCTGATCTATTAGTTAGCCACTCAGTCTTGATTTCATCATTTGTAAAAAGGGATTAATGACACCCATCTGTCATAGGACCAAAGTGTGTGCTTTATAAAATCACATAAATACCCAGCACAGATGTGTTTCTTAATAAATGGAAGCTCTTTTATCATCAGACAACCTGGTTAAAAGAATTGAGGTAAATTTGGTACATTTAGAGCTAACAGATTTTTTATGAATAGATTCTAAACTACCCATTAAAGGACATCTAGTTTTATAACATTTCCCAGATAAAGATACTGCAGCTCAAAAAATTCAAGCAATTTGCCCACATCCACACAGCTGTTTATTGACAGATGAGGGCATGTGCCTAGGTCATCTGAATCCAGTTCTTTTCACTATGTCACCCTCATTTAACTTAATACATCCATGCTATGTGGCAGTTCTCTTGTCTCATAAATGTTTAATAATCTTATTTAATAATCCACTTGAGAATTTTGTACTGTTGTAATAGTTCTATAATCTGTCATCTTAACCTTTTAATGTATCCAGACAGCATTAGCCCAACTCATCCTTCTGACATTTCTTCAACCAATATTCTACGAAATTACTGACAGTGTTTTCTTCTTTTTTAAAAAAGATTTTATTTATTTATTTATTTGTTTGAGTGCACAAGTGTGGGGAGGGGCAGAGGGAGAAGGAAAGAGAGAATCTGAAGCAGACTCCACGTGTTGAGCATGGAGCCCAATGCGGGGCTTGGGATCCCATGACCCTGAGACCATGATCTGAGCCTAAATCAAGAATTGGACACTTAACTGACTGAGCAACCCAGGTGCCCCCGACAGTGTTTTCTTGATTATATTGCCAAGTTTCTTCAATGTTATGGCGTGGTATTTATCTAGGCTGAAGCTTTGAGTTTTTTAAAAAAATAAATAGATGCTCTTTTCCCATCTACTCACTTATCTTAGATCTTTATTTTCATTCTAACCATTTTTGGTATGCTTTTTTTAAATTTGGACATTATTTTCCAAGGACTAGAAGACTAAAGCAAAATAGGCATTGAAGAGTTTTTTGTTTTGTTTTGTTTTTGTTTTTGTTTTTTTTTCTCTGTCCTTCATTAAATTTCCAAGCCTCGCTTCCTTTTTCAGCTTCTTGTTCTGGTAATCTCTCTGATGAGAGAAGTCTGGCCCTTCCTAGGACCAGACACACACATATTCCCTGTGGGTGTTGCCTGTTGCTTGGGGAGATTCTCAACTCAGAGGCACAGAACTCTTGGGGTTGGTTGGGTTTGCATGATTGAAATAATGCTGCCTGAAATACAAGAGGGTTGTTTGGTATGTAACAATCACTGTGACAGACAGTCTTTGATTTATTTTTCATTTTTCATTTTTTCTTTCTTTTTATTAATAGAAATTTTTATGAGATAATTATAGATTCACATGCAGTTGTAAGAAATAATACAGAGAAATCCCTTGTGTAGTTTTTTCAGTTTCCTCCAATGGTAACATTTTGCAAAATTATAGTAAAATATTATGACCAAGATATGGATGTTAATACAATCTGCTGATTATATTTAGATTTTCCAGTTTTACTTTAAGTCCTTCCTGTGTGTGTGTGTGTGTGTGTGTGTGTGTGTGTGTGTGTGTGTTCTATATGATTTTATTACTTGTGTAGGTTTAGGTATCTGCCACCACATCAAGTACTAAACAGTTCCAACACCCAAGGGTCCCTCCTGCTGCCCTTTTATAACCACACCCAAGCCCCTCCTGCTTCTGCCAATCCCTGTTCCTAACCACTGGCAATCTTCCATTTGTCTTCTTCCATTTTTAATCTGTCTTCCATTTGTAAAATTTTCTAATTTCACAAATGTTACATAAATTGAGTAATACAATATATAACCTCTTGGGATTGTTCTATTTTCTTTCAGCACAATCCCCTGGACACTCATCCAAGTTTTTGCATGCACCAATAGTTTATTCTTTTGTATGGCTTACCAAGATTCCCCAGTTTGTTTAATCATTCATACATTGAAAAACATCTGGGCTACTTCAGTTTTTTACTACTACAAATAAAGCGGTTATGAATATTTGTGTACAGGTTTTGGTACACACAAGTCTTCATTTTTCTGGGATAAATGCCCAAGAATGTAATTTACAGGTTGTATGGCAATTGCAGGTTGTATGGCAATTGCATGTTTGGCAATTGCCAAAATTACAGGTTGTCTGGCAATGGCATTTACAAGAAACTGTCTAACGATTTTCCAGAGTGGCTGTATCATTTTACATTCCTATTGGCAAAGTATAAGTGACGCAGTTTCTTCATATTCTTTTTTTTTGTAAAGATTTATTTATTTATTTGAAAGAGCAAGAGAAAGTGAGAAAAAGGGAGTGCACAGGTGGGAGGTGCAGAGAGAGAGAGTCTAAAGCAGACTCTGTGCTGAGTGTGGAAGCTGACATGGGACTGAATCCCACAACCCCGAGACCACGACCTGCGCAGAAACCAAGAGTCAGACACTTAACCAAA